AAGTGCAAGTCCTGGGCCATCTGGGCCTTTTTGCACTCTCCCAGCTATATGTGGTGAAAAGGAATTTCTTAGCTATGTAAGCCCGCGTGGGAGATCTCATTGGCACTAGGCTGTTTGTACAGCTGCACCCCAGGGCTCCGGCTCTGCTATCTTTCATGGCCCAGAAGCATCTGCAAATGTGCTGGGGAAGTGTTCCTAGCGGCTGGAGGAGGCGAGAGCTGGGCTGGGGAGGTGGTTGTCCCCCAAGTGCCTGTGGGCATTGATAGTCTTTTCAAAGAAAATGTGTATTTATTTAAAAAAAAGTCATATCTCTTGAATTTCCATAGTTCAAGAGTTACAGGAAGGTTTGCCATGGAAAACAACCCTCTCCTCCTTTCCATAACCCTGCTTCCCTTCCTCACAGCCAGCCAGTGTTACCTGTTTCTCAGGTAGTCAGGTAATGACCTATCTCCCGTTGCCTTCCTTTTATACAGACCTCCCTTCTATGGGTACCATTCTCTCCCTTGCATTTTCCTTGCTTTCTTGTTCCTTTAGTTTTTCGGCCACACAAGTTATCACTGCACTCATGTATCTTGTTTAACAAATGCCCCACCGGTTGCATTTTGTTCACTTCAATCTTTTGCTATTATAATGCTGCAGTTAATCATCTTGTTTATATGGCATTTTGCACACATGTAGGATAAGTGCAAGAAGAGAAGCTGTGGGGTCACAGGGAATGGACATTATAATTTTGATTGATACTACCACATTGCTCCCCAGGATCTCATACCAGTTTCCAGCACCGCCCCCCCCCACCCCAGCAGTGGCGGGGGGGCGGATCCTGTGATCCCTTACACCACTTACACCTTACCCACCTGCCTTCTGACCTTGGCCGCCTGAAAGGTGAAGAAATGATCTCAGTGCAATTTTAAGGGATGGTCCAGTCTTGACAAACAATAGAACATAGCACATCTGCTACTTTTGCCCTTGTGGTGATGACTGCAAGGTGCTTCCAACCTTTTGGAGCAGCAGAGGAATTAGAGCTGGTTTTTGTTGACGCTGTGTGACTGCTTGCAGGAATGAATAGTAGTTAAAATATTGAGAAGTAAATCCATACAGTTCTTTTAAAAGTAGATATTACATTGGTGATGTGATACAGCTAAACGAATCTTTAGAGACCATGCGCTCCTTAGTTTTATTGATGCTGTAACAGCCTCTGCAATCTTGTTATGACAGACAGGACTTAAGATCAAAGGATCAGAGAAACAGTTCCAGTAACTTCAGCAAGGTCAGCAGTACTGTCTCCAGTGACCTCTAAGTCGGTCCTTACCAGCTCTGGGCCCCGTAGAGTTCTGCTGCCCTTCACCACATTCCTGAGATACAAGCGTAAGCATTTGGAAAAGATGATGCTTAGGTCAAGGTTCAGAGTTGGAAGGGGGGATTTGAAGGTCCTCGAGAACAGTTTGGTTTTCTTCGCTGGGAAGTCAGGTAGGACTTGCCTTGAACAAAGGGATATGCTGGGAATCGGTTATGATTGCAGGAAAAGGAAGTTTGGCCTATGGACTTGATATGAAATAGGGGCTTGGGTGTGTGGGGGGGGCAGTTCAGAGACGGGGAGGGGTTCTGGAAAAGTGTGCCAACGGTTAAGGTCAATTTATTTATAAACATAATGTGGTCTGCCACCCTATGAAGACACAGAGAAAAATACACTATCATTTACAGATAGTCAAAACAGGACTCGGCATCTCCACCCATGCAGGCTCTCTGGAGTCACACCCAGCCTGTGTTACTAAAGCTACCGAGGCCGCGGAGCCCTGCCAGCCCCCAGCTCAGCCATTCACTTGCCTGGCCAAACTTCCAGGCATGTAATCCCTCAGGACTCAGGAGGTGCCTCTGCGACTTGCAAACGGAGAGTATACAAAATCCTAGACATCAAAACACAGTGCAAGGTCCTTTATCTAGTGTGTCAGGGGTCCAGTTAGGCCCAAATTCAGGTTAAACCAGATCCGGTTTTCAGTGGCCTTGTTCTTCCTGAGATTTCTGGGTGAACAAAAGAGCAGTGCCGGCACGTGTGTGTTCCTCACTTCACCAGAGCACGTAGGCAGATATCTGTAGCCTGCTTTTCTTCTCCCTGGTGCCTCGGCCGACGTCAGACCACTGAGGTCAACGCCTTACCTCTCCCCTCTGCCCCGACTCGGCATCCCGGTTTCCTTTGTCTTCTCTTGGCTGTAGTGAGACATAATTTGTGTGACATACAATTCACCTGTTTAAGTGCACAATCCCGTGGTTTTTAGTATGTTCCTGGAGTTGCACAGCCATTACCACTGTCAGTTTCAGAACATTTCCGTCACCCTCAGCCCCATGCCCTCCCTGATCTACTTTCTGTCTCTATAGATTTGCCCAGTTGGGACATTTCGTATAAATGGCAACATGTGGGCTTTTGGGACTGGCTTCTTTCACTTAAGCGTAACATTTTCAAGATTCGTCCATGTTGTAGCATGGATCAGGACCTCATTCTGTTTTAGAGCCAAATAATCCATTGCATGAATATATCACATTTTGTTTGCCCATTCACCCGTCGATGGATAGTTGGGTTATTTCCGTTCTTTGGCTGTCAGGAATAATGCTGCTCTGAGGTTTTGTGCAAGTTTTTGTGTGGCTGTACGTTTTCCTTTCCCTTAGGTATACACCGAAGAGTGGAATTGCTGGGTCATGTGACTCTGTTTAACTTTGTGAGGAACTGCCAAACTGTTTTCCAAAGTGGGGACACCGTTTCGCATTCACACCAACAGTATATAAGGGTTCTGAGTTTTCTACAGCATCCTCAACCGTTGCTATTATCTTCCCAATTATAATCATCCTAGTGAGTGCAAAGTGGTTTTGATTTGCATTTCATTATGGTTTTGATTTGCATTTCCTTGATAACTAATGATATTGAGCATCTTTTCATGTGCCTGTAGGGCTTTTGTAGATCTTCTTTGGAAAGGGGTCTACTCAGATCCTTTGCCCCTCCCCCCCTTATTTTGAGAGAGAGAGAGAGAGAGACTGCATGTGCGAGTGGGAGCGGGGGGTGGGGAGCATAGGCGGTAGAGAGAGAGAATCTTAAGCAGGCTCCACGCCCAGCACAGAGCCTGACACAGGGCTTAATTTCATGACCTGAATCGAAATCAGGAGTCTGACGCTTAACCAACTGAGCCACCCAGGCGCCCCTCTTTGCCCATTTTTTAATTGGGGTTTTTATTATTGAAGAATTTTTTTATATATTCTAGATATGGGTCCTTTATCAGATATAGGATTTATAACTATTTTCTCTCATTCTGTGATCCATTTTGAGTTAGTTTTGTGTATGGTGTAAGGAAGGGTGCTGATTTCATCTTTTTGCCTCTGCATATCCAGTTGTCCCAACACCCTTTGCTGAAGACTCTTCTTTGCCCATCGAATTTTCCTGGCGCCCTTGTTGAAAATCAATCGACTATAAATGTTGGATTTGCTTGGGGGCTCTCAATTCTGTCCAACTGAATTGTATGTGTATCCTCACGTCAGTGCCACACTGTCTTATAACTCTAGCTTTGTAGTCTCATATTTTAATGGGAAAGTTAGGACAGGATTGGGCAATCTAGACTTTAATTTTTCCTTCCCTGGTCTGACCAGTTATTGGATTCTTTGGATCCTTACTCATGCTTTCAACCACACTTTATTTCTCCTTGTTCATCTTGCTGATTTCGGTAGGAGAGGATACCCAAGTGGGTCCTGAGGAGTCCTAGTGGTTGGCACTTTAGTTTTCTCCTTCGCAATGCCAGCTAACTGTGTTCTGACCCAGTAGCTTGACATGATGGGTGTTCCCAGATGTATAGAATTAAACATTTGGGTTTGAAAAGATGCTCTGTTTTCTGAAACTCTTTAATCAATTAAGTTCAGGATAATACATATTATTGTACTGTTAAGAGATTTAAAGATCTTTCTGTAAGGCTACGCAAGCAAACAAGCAGTTCTGGCAGTTAGTTCTCCCATGGGGCCATGACATAACTTTCAAAGCCAAAGCTTGCCCTCCCTGGGCCTTCCCTTCCTTGCAGGCATCTGCAGGGTTGTTCCGTGAGCATCCGATTTGCTGACATTGGCATCTTTGTAGTAGTGGAGCAATGGAAGGAGAGAGATCTTCTGGGAGAAGTGGAATTCTGGACAAGGCCACTTATCATCACTTCACGTTGCTGAGCCAAAAAAAAAAAAGCTCCCATGGTACATCTGGAATTAGCAATAACCACACTGTAATTGTCACCATGCCTTTCTGTTAGGAATTTTGTGCAGCACGGAGCTCATTTTCAGACGATGGCGCCCGGAGCTTGCACTAGGAACTCCATCATAATTTAAGTGAATTTTAATTTCTGCTTTGTATTGGACATTAAAAAAATCTGTAAACAGGAACTGTCCTTCATCCAGAACTTCCACTAAGGGGCCCTGTGCGTGGCGAGGGGTCAGGGATGTGGACTCGGGCCGAAGGCAGTGCTTATAAGAACAGGTTCTGGAGTCCGTCTGCCCAAATGCACTTGCTCCTAAGTGACCTTGGACAAGTTCCGTATCTACCCAAGTCTCAGTTTCTTTGTCTTTAAAACAGTGATAAGAATAGTACCCACCTCTAAGAGTCGTTAAAAGCTTGAAATCCCATGTTAAAGATTTAGTACAGGCAAGGGATGGCAACGTTTTTCTGGGAAAAGCTAGGGAGTGAATATTCTAGGCTTTGCAGCACCAGGGGGGCCTTCCCTCACAGGCATCGGCCACTCCCCGCGCCCCTATGTAGCTCGGAAGCTGGTGTGCTCACCAGCGCGCGTGGCGATGCTCCCTGAACACCTTTTTTAATAACAGGTGGCGTGCTGGACTTGGCCTCCAGGCTATAGCATGTCCATCCCTGGCTTCGCATGGTGCCTGGCACATCGCGGGTTTTTAATAAAGGTCAGCCATGCTCGAAGCTGGGGGCGGCCCCTCGACAGCAGCTCCCATGCTCACCCGCTCTGTGTTTTTAACAGAATGTCGAGGTCCTGGCCAGTCGGAGCAACACTTCAGAGCAGAGCCAGCTGGGAGCTGAAATGCACGTGAAGGCGCTGCAGGAGGAGAATGAGAAGCTGCGGGAAAGCATCGCAGAGCTGGAGCAGAGCGTCGCTCGGCTTCAGAGGCAGATTGCTGACATGAAAGGCGATGAGGCCAAAGCGAAGGAAATGCTCAAGAAGGGCGAGGTAAGGCTCGCTGGGCCCCCAGCCCAGGCCTGGCAGCTGCGGATCCTTCTTTTTTCCTGTGTCTGTGGCTTTGGAAGCGGAAGGGGATTTACTATCATAATTTAGCAGGAAAACTGGAGGCAATGGTGACTATATCCTCTCCGCCAGCCATTTCTGCTGTTCCTCTATGAAGGCATAAAGGGGAGATGAGCTTGTCAGGAAGGTGGGAACGGGGCCGATGAAGTCAGGGTGGGAAACACAGGCGTCCCCGCTCACCCAGACGTCGGGCACCCTCAGCTTTTTGACACCGGGCAGAGGCCACCTTAATACCACCATCAGACCCATTCTCACGCACGGTGATTTTTTTCTTCTTTAACACATAGTTGACGGATTTTGAAGCCGCACTGGTTTTAACCGATTATCTAGTTTGCCAGATCTCTAGAAGCAGGAGGCTGTTAGCAAGAGACACGCACGTGTAGGGGGCAGTGAGAGCTCACACTGACGATAGAAGAGGGGACAGAAGCATTGTAAAGGGAGATGTGTTCCAACAGGGCTTCCCAAAATGCTCCTTGATCAGAATCACCTGGAAACCTTTCCCAAAACTCCATATGCCTGAGTCCGTTCCATACCTGCTCTTTCTGAAGCTGCAGTGGGGAGGCTGGATATGTATTTTCAGTCATGCCGGATGATTCGCACTTTCACATCTGGCTAAATAGGGAACTGCAGACAGGCACACGTGTCTAAGAGCATACTGCTCTGTGCCACCTTGGGTCCACTGCTGGCTGTGTCCTTGGATGCCTCCCGCCTTCCCTTCATGCCCCCGAGCCTGCTTCCTAGGCACAACACGCATCCGCGTGCACTCTGACCTTGTGTGTCATTGTAGAGAGAGAGCCGGCAATTAGAGGAGGCCCTTGTGCAGTCAAGAAAGGAAGAAAGAGAAGCCACGTCGGCCAGAAGGACCCTGGAGAGTGAGCTGGAAGATGCGCAGGTAAACAGAGCTGTTGTCTTTACTCCTCATAAAAGAAGCCTGAGAAGCCAAATTGGAGAGACGTGGACAGATCGCGCCTGGTCCTCTCCTTCCAGGGAGTTCCTTGTATAGCTAGAACCACACTGGGCTTCAGACCCTCCATCTAGACCACCAGTGGTTCTTAACTGGGGGACATCTGGCAATGTCTGGTGACATTTTTGGTTGTCACAGCCAGGGACATGCTTCTGGCATCGAGTGGGCAGAGGCCAGGGATGCTGCTCAACATGCTACAAACACAGGACAGCCCCCGCAGCAATGAATTATCTGGCCCCAAATGGCAGTGGTGCCGAGGTGGAGAAATCCTCATGTCGACAGTAAAGAGCTTGACAGCTTTCCAAAGATAAAATATGAATTGTGTGAGAAAGCTGGCAGGATAGGTCCCCAAGGCAGTGTGGAGTCAGCTCTCTGGCAGAAGCCAATTTCCTTTCTCCTCTGGGCAGATATACTCCGCAGAGTGCAGTCCTTCAGGACGGCTATTAAAAGCAGGAGGAAGTCGGGTGTTTTTTTCTTTTTTTTGAAACTAGATAGCTATCTGTATTCGAAATCAGTAGATTCTTAGAAAATTAGGTTTTCCCATTTGAAGGTTAGAAAGATTGTAGGAAGTACATTCTTAAAAAAAAAAAAAATGTCTGCCATGAAGCTCTAAAATGAGTTTGCACAGCGACCTCAGTGGGATCCAGGTATGTCCTTCCTTCTACCTGCTCTGGGTTTTAAAGAACCAGCACCAAGCATTCCTCAGGCCGTTTCTGAGGAGGCCAAAGGCAGTGATTTTGAGCAGCTGTCCAAGAGGACATTGTTAACGTTTTCCGTGAGGACCATTGGGTGGGGAAGGGACATACGAAACGTGCTAGGGGCCGACAAAGCAGCCAGGGTTCAAATTTGTAAATCTGCCTTATGCCTAATTGCAGCTTTCCTCTCAGTATACAGCTTCCCCTCCTCGGGGGCAGAGAGAGGCTGCTTGTGCTAGGATTCACTTCAGGTCAGCCGTAGCCAGGGGCCATCACCCCCAGAGCGGAGGTCTGTGCCTTCTCTCCAGCTTTGGACAAAGACCTTGTTTTTGCAGACAGTAAAGCCCTCTTTTCTCCCAAGTTCGGTGTCTGATTGTCCTCGCTTTGGACTTCTTCCCCTCTTTCTCTCCCCTCCCTACCTCCTTCCCTTCCATCCTTCCTTTCTTCCTCTTTGTTACAAACTCTGGTTTGGTTAGTTCGGCGTGGACAGCAGGCTCAGTGTGCTGCTCTTGAAGCCTCGTGCTGATGATGGCCGGCTGCTGAGGTGCAGGGTTCTGCCGGGAGAGCTAGCTGGGGGCAGGAAGAGAGGGAAAGCATTTCTACTCTACAGGGACAAAAGTCTGCAGCTTCGTGTCACGTCCACACCAAGTGCTGGGCACAGCTATTACAGGCTGTCTGTCTTTATCTTTAGGTCAAACCAGAACGTTTCACACAGAAGGAAGTAGTTTACCAGCTGTGGATCTGCAGCTCAGGGTTGCTTCCACACAGAGAGAGTGGGTGACAGCCTCAAGGCCTAAAGATATATATATATATATATTTTTTTTTAAAGATTTTATTTATTTATTTGACAGAGAGAGACACAGCGAGAGCAGGAACACAAGCAGGGGGAGTGGGAGAGGGAGAAGCAGGCTTCCTGCTGAGCAGGGAGCCCGATGCGGGGCTCCATCCCAGGACCCTGGGATCATGACCTGAGCTGAAGGCAGACGCTTAACGACTGAGCCACCCAGGCGCCCCATCAAGGCCTAAAGATCTTAATGTAATCCCCACCCACCCCCACCTCCCCGTTGCTAGCCTCGCCCTGCCTTGGAAATGATCCCTGACCTGTTCCCGGGCATTTGGGCCTGTTTGCCCCATGGTGCTGGACTGGCTGGCGCACGAAAGCCTGGGATGGTGTGTGGCCTTGCAAACCACCGCCAGTGCTCTCGAAGACACTCAAGAAGGCCCGGCAACCTCCCCGCAGTTCTCTCAGGTAGCCGGTCTCAGAAGGAGTCCCCTGCAAAATGCACCGTGGCTCTCAGATGCTGCGTTTTCTGTCAAATCGGGAACCAGAGAGCCGGTTCGATGACTTTCTGCATGCCTCCCTTCCCAAAGCTGGCAACTGAAAGCGAACTTAACCCTTCGAGGAGGAGGAAAGAGTAACTTGTTTTTGTTTTTTATTCCCCACACAGTATTTTATATTTCAGAGTCTTTGTGCCTTTAGCAATCTGTGGCATCTTCGTGCATGATAACTTTTCCTTGACACAGTAGCCGAAGGCCACGTGAACTTAGGTCTGATTTATTAGGACTTAGAAAGTGGCAGTGGGATAGAACGATGCCATTGTTGGTTTGCTCGGCCCCTGCTGCTCGGGTTAGGATGGCACTGCTGAGTAGACCCACTGGAACTGCCTTCAGGCAAGAGATGTGTCGGATTCCCTTGAGAAATGGCTTCTGCAGATGGGGAAGTGAAGAAACTCTTTCTGGAGAAGCCACTGTTCTCCTTCGTGGAGGAATAATGTGTAAGTTCTGTAAGCCTTCCCCTCCCACCCTGTCGGACTTCCGTGTCATGAAATGACAGAAGAAGAGAGCCCCAGAGCTTCCCCCATGGCAGCCCTGGTACTGTGGCAGGGTACTGCCTGGGACCCACGCGGTCTTGTGTCCCCACAGAGGCTGTGTAAGGGGAGCGTGTTTTCGTTCATGAGCTGTTCCCACATGCTGTAACTTGGGTACCTGGACAACACTCCTGAGAAGTATTCTCAGGAGTTCAGATTTGTCAATGCTTCATTGCAGCTTGCCTTTCACTATGTAGCTTCTCCTCCTCGGGGGCAGAGAGGAGCCTGTTTGTGCTAGGATGCATTTGGGTCAGCCATAGTTCAGGGGCCATCCCCCCCCAGCTCCTGTCCGATCAAGCCTCTCATTTCTGTAAGTCCGTGGGCTCACCTGCCACTCAGCTGTTGTTAATAGGGACTAACAGGGCCCTTCCTCAGTCATACAGTAAAAGGCTCTGCATCCATCTACAGACAGTGTGGTCTTCAAGCTCAAGGGTACTCACTATACATTCAATAACTGTGTTTTGCATTCTCTGGACTGATCATTTTTTCCCCGATTTTTGTCCCAGTATTTTGGTCAATGGGCTTATATTGCTGGTCTTTGAAATATAGTCACTGTAACAACAGCATTTCGCTCCTGACTCCCAGCTGCAAAATGGGGAGTTTGCTTCTTTTTGTGTGAGTTTGGAACATGTTTTCTCAGCAATGGTGTATTGGAATACATTTCTGGAGGAACTGAGGAGGCAGAACATTATTCTAGATAGCATCTCTAAAATTTAAAGTATGTTAGAATTTTCTGGGTAACTTTTAAGTCTAAATTTGAGGGCCCCAGTCTAAGGAAAATTGTGATTCCATCACAAAGGGCTAGAATCTGCATTTCAGGTAAGGAATACCCCATCCTTACTTGGCGACTCTGACATACAAAGTCTTTAGACCACTTTTGGGGATAGGTATTAATTTCCAGCCACTGAGTTTTTATCATATGCCTCATCATGAATCTGGGCTATGAGACATACCCAGATGGAAAATCTCTCCCTCTCCTTGATAGATCTTACTACCTTGCAATAGAGGCAAGCTACAAGAAATATTTTTTAAATAATTTAGCAACACTGTTCTTCCAGGCAAATGTGTGAGTGTTGGGGTGGGGTGTGTGGGGTTTTGGTGGGGCCCCAGGCCCAGAGTGGGTGAGTCTTGTGTCTCCGGTGGCACGGGAGACCAGGGCCAGGCAGGGAGCCCTGCCTGAGCCAAGGGGGAATCAGAGATGCACACACCATATGGAGGTTGATGGGAGCCAAGGCTGGCTTGTCTGCTGGCCTGCAGCCTCCGGGATTGGGATCCAGGAGGAGAAAAAGAGAGGCTGGGGGGGGGGGCGTTCTCTAGGGGCACGGGTTGAGTTGGATCCTATAGGAAGCCATTCATGTCCCTCTGTATTTTGTTGTTTTTCGGGAATTTACATTTTGAGATACGTTACTGAGAGATTTCTCCCACACATGGAACCAGACCTTGCTTGCCTTAGCATGCATCCTCCCCTTTGCCCCCAATACCACTAAATCAACCACAAACACAGATCCCAGAAGGTGACCCTGTTTCTGGTATGTGCCCAGCTGGACTGTGGTGGGACACATTCCTGCTAATTGCCTCCACACTGAACTTCGAATTAGCTTCCTTTTACCACCTTCTTTTCTCCCAACAGCTTTTGTTGACCTTGGTTTCCCGCAGAAATTAACTTCAGCAGCCCAGCTGTGTTGGCTGGTTCTGTGAGTGCAGTCAGCCTGGCAGAGTAGAGGGGCCAGAAGGCCTCCACGGGTGGCTTTTTGGCCCCAGGTCACAGGGTCGGCCAGCAGCATGGCTGGCTGTGCTTTGCAAACCAGGAGTGCCCCAAGTGGTTTGGGAGTGTTTTCAAGATGCCTGAGTTGGTGCATGTGATAGCAGCTTGTAAACTGTTAAGCACAGTACAGATAGAGACCGTTGTCCTTGTAATAGCAGCTGCGGGGACATAGGACACAAATCCTAAGCAGTACCTGTAGCAACTCACATGCAGCCCTCAGTACCTGAGACCGTTTTCTTTTTCAGATTTTTATTTATTTGACAGAGAGACACAGCTAGAGAGGGAACACAAGCAGGGTGAGTGGGAGAGGGAGAAGCAGGCTTCCTGCTGAGCAGGGAGCCCAGTATAGGGCTTGATCCCAGGACCCTGGGATCATGACCTGAGTCGAAGGCAGACGCTTAACCAACTGAGCCACCCAGGCGCCCCCTGAGACCATTTTCTAGATGATCCAGCCCATGTCTGGGTCATGCTGCCTCTTTCTGAGCTCTGCCCCTTCTTGGTATCTTTATGCCAGCGGCTGCAGCACTCAGCCATTTAAAGAGGCCACCATAATCTTTCTAAGATACTTTAGGATTTTGTTTTAGAATTGCATGTTTTTACATAAAGAATATCAGGCTCTGTGACTGGGTGAGGTGAGAGCTTCAGGGGATCCCGGGGAAAATAGCGCACTCAAGATAGTTTCATTTTATGGTAAGTACTAGGATTTGGTGCTGAATCACTAACACTCATTTGCACTTTTCTAACTAGTGTCTTTTCCATTTCACACCTTTTACTTACCAAGTTTATCCACCTGTGGATTGCCAGATTCCTTTTTCTTCTATGAGTCCAACCACGATTTTGTTGATTACAACTCCCTCTACCCAAGTGGACTCTTGACCTATGGGTCAGTGTTCTCTTTCCTCATAGATTCATTGTTAGCTATTTTAACTGTGGGAAGTGTCTGCAGAGCAGAGGAAATTCTAGAACATGAGGTGTAATGCTGTATAGCATAGGATGTAAATTGCCACATTGGTTCAGGTTTGTCTCATGTATATCTTTACCTCAATTTTTAAGCATGAACTTGAAAATTTCATGTTTTCAGACACTGTCCTTAGTCACTGCCCCGAGCAGCCTTGGCCATTTTCTGTAGTTCTGTAATAAATCCTTTGCCCCTTTATTCTCATGTGTTTTTTTGGCTGAGTCAACTTTGCATTTGGGTCCTTGAATTTCAGAACCGGCAATGTCCTTGTGTCTTGTGATGGTTTTGTTTGGATCCTTTTCCTTACCACTGATGTAGCAGGTCTGATTGCTTTGTGGTGTGGCTGCAGAATTCCCTCTGCCCCCTGTTCCGGGGCTGACCTGATAGGTAGGTGACCATGCGGTCCCTTCCCTGCCGTCTGCAGAGGAATCTGAGTCGGGCCACCCAGGAGCAGAAGCAGTTGTCTGAGAAGCTCAAAGATGAGACAGAGCAGAAGGAGCAGTTAAGGAGACTGAAGAACGAGATGGAGAACGAGCGATGGCACCTGGACAAGACCATCGAGAAACTGCAGAAGGAGGTGAGGGGTGGGGGAGCAAGAGGTGTGGGGGGAACACCTGGGCTGGGGCCGAGAGCCCTCTGAGGGCCTGGTGAGAGCTGAGGAAACCTGCACTTATGTCTAAGCACACATGTGTCAGATTCCCAGATACCCTGAAGCAGCTCTTTGGACTTGTTGAGAATCCCAGTTAAGGGGAAGCTGGTCTAGAAAATGCCAGTACCCTCTGGATTCTGGGCCCAGCTCCTCTCAACAATCACCCAAAGAAGCCTGGCACGTAAGGGCAGACTTAACAAATGTTACCTGAATCAGAACCATGTGTAACGTCTGCATTTGCTCCCATCTTTCTTGTCCAGGAATGTGAAAGGCAGTTTCAAAGTCTAGTAGTTGCTACTTCTCTTCTCTGCTCATCTCTGCCCTAAAATACCCAGAAGGGGGAGAGACACAAAGCTGACGGGCTCCCTGCATTCTAGGAGCCAACAGGAATGCCTGCCATCTTCTGATACCTACTATGTACCAGTCACTGTACTAGCTATTTTGTAACTGCCATTCTATCCCTTATGTATTAATTCTGACAACACCCCTGTAAGGTAGATATGATGATTCCAGTATTTCTGATGCAGACACTACAGAGGCCCAGTGAGGTTTAAGGGCATGGCCCAGTTATGTAGCTGGAAGTGGCAAAGCAAGGGCATGACCCGGGTCTATGCTTCCAGCCACAAAAGGTGTGCTTGTTCACTCCTCCTTGCTGCTTCCAAGTTAGAGGTGACTAAGCCTGGACAGCCCATGACCGGGTGCTTTGCAAAGTCTTTGGGGAGGTTGTAGAAGAAAGAGGAGGAGATGTGTTCTGTGTTTCGATGGGACCCAAACCTAGCTCTCGGGCCCCAGCTGGAGTATCACAGGGTGGGCTCACACCCATGTCACTCCTTCCAGATGGCTGACATTGTTGAGGTGTCCCGCATATCAACCCTGGAGCTCCAGAACCAGCTGGATGAGTACAAGGAGAAAAATCGCAGGGAGCTTGCAGAAATGCAAAGGCAGTTGAAGGAGAAAACCTCAGAGGCCGAAAAGTCACGTCTGACTGCCATGAAACTGCAGGATGAGGTAATGCCTGGCCAGATCCTTTCCTGGTTTACCCCCCCGTTCAAAGTATCCTGTACTAGAAACTGCTTTGCCACTCTTCTAGGAGCGACTCAGGGTACGTCGGAAGACAGCGTTTGGGCTTGATTCTTCAGTGTTAACCCTTAGGATGGTCACATGGGGCAAATGGCATTCTAAGACACAAAGTCCCAGGGCCTCTGGGGTGAAACTGACACAACTTTAAAGTGACCATTTTCTCGATTCATTCAAGAGTTTCTGCCTACTGAGGGTTCTAGAGGGGAGGGGGATGGGGGGATGGGTTAGCCTGGTGATGGGTGTTGAGGGGGGCACGTTCTGCGTGGAGCACTGGGTGTTATGCACAAACAATGAATCATGGAACACTACATCAAAAACTAATGATGTAATGTATGGTGATTAACATAACAATAAAAAATTATTAAAAAAAAGTTTCTGCCTAAAATGTTTAGCTGACATTTATGGAGCACCACTGGTATACCCAGCTGTGTCTTAATGATTCATGCGTATTAGTGTTTTAATTTAACCCTAGAACACAGATTATAGTAAACAATTGCTTTTTGACATTCATTTATAAAATATAGACTTTTATGAGAGCAGGTGTGGTGGACATGAGCTTCAGAACAACGATAATGGAGACAAAAAGAAATCTTCAGGAATGTATGAGTACTGAAATTATTAAAGCATATTTTTTAGTTTTATATTTAGGAATAGGTAGAGCAAAGTAACTCAAATGTTAGCTTCCTTCAGTCTTGACTTGTAAAGAGCTGAGAAAAATAAAAGGAATGTTTTTGATTATTGTAATGGAAAGCTGAAGGTTCTAAAACACAAGTATGCTGATTTCTTGTTATGCCTCTTGCCAGCTGGATGACCTTGAGCAACTTACCCCAATTTTCGGAGCATCTGTTTTTACCTTTTTAAAAACACCCAAATAACGATGATTTAATTATGAAATGAGATAACGTGTGAGGCTAGAGAGGTGAGGGTTTGTATATCCTGGACACCAATGTTAAGGGTTTTTTTTTTTAGAGTCCAAGGCTTGTTTTTTTTCATAAGCAGTGCCAAGAGTGTCAAGATTCCACAGGAAAACAAGTTTTTCTTTAAAAAAACAAACTTTTAATATCTTTGATGATCAAAGAAATATTGCCCATGAGTCAGTGCTGGAACTGTGTGAAAGAACAATGGAGATTTATTATAGACTTCTAGAACATTTCTGAAAGGATCCTGATAACAGGTCCCCTCTGCTGCAGGGTCATATGATGCAGGACCCCAATAACTGAAATCAGCATAGTGACATCACAGTTCTGTCTGGCATTAAAAGAAAGTCATTTGCATTTCTACGGCAAATGGGAGGGGAGATTCGGATATTTGCCAGAACACCAACAAACACATGGTGCGCTGCTTTGATTTCAGAAAAATCACAGTGTCACGATGACCCCTGCAAAGTGCTTCCTGTTGCTTTTTGTGTGATGTTTATCATTCTGCTAGAATCTTCGGATTGGAAGGAACTTTAGAGATCCTCTAGTTGGATGAGGAAACTGAGATCCAGAGAGATTAGTTAAGGCCAGAAGGAGACCAGTATTGTTCATAAAAGAGCAGTCATTCAAAACAAGATCCCTTAACAGTGAAAACAAAAGATGGCCCTTCCTAGATTTTTCTCAGTGGTGCAGCCCTCTGAGACACAGTTTCCGTCTGAATGGCAGAAAAGGACACCTCATCATTCTGGAAGAAAACTGCAGGCAGATACTGCCCTGTATCCAGCTATGGAAGTCAGTGGAGTTGTTGAAAACAAAAGTGAATTGACAAGCCAGGGTCACCCTGGATCCTTGAAGAACTCAAGCTCACCACTGTTCACGGCCCCCAACCCTGTGTTTTCGTTGAGCTGAGATAAAGCTTGTCTGTTAACATAAAAGGGGCAAGGGGTCTATCCTCAGGGGCAAAGCACTGCTGCCTTTGCTTTAAGAGAAATAGATATTTGACATGTTTTGCCTTTGGTGTGGAGCCAGAGAAGTTCTGATGAAGGTTATCTCTAGAGAATGAAGACTTGGAGTTCACTGTCGGTTTATTGTCTGAATCCCACTTAGCGAAGGGCAGTTCTGACTACTTCAAGGGAGCACTAGTGTAGCTAGCAGGGCTTGGGATCCCAGACACTATCCGTGTTCTGTGGGGCATGGCCTCATTGAGTACTCTTTTTGACAGAGCCCTTGACTCAGTTACCACCACACTAGATGAGGGTCTTTATCTGGAGAGGTCTTTTCTTCAAGGTTGTGCTGTTCTCATTGAAAGGCCAGGGGTTCCTGTCAGCTTCCAGGAACCCATTTCCTAAAGTTTTGCCACTGGGCTTCTGAAACTAGCCTAACCTGGTGCGCCCCGCCCCTCCCCCACCAGACTATCTTTGAGGCTTCCCCAACTTCTCTGTGAAAATCACCCCCAAAAGATGCTGTTCTCTAATGGAGTTTGCCACTCAGTGTCATATACTCTCTGAAGGAACTAAACCCCTGGTGTAGTTAGTTATTCCTAAGACAGCGCCTTCACCCAGTACCCGGTACCAGCTCCAAGAGGAAAGGAGGTTTTGAACAAAACAGGTAGTCTTGGTCTTCACTGAATCAATCCACACAGGTGTATGAGGAGCACCTACAGTGTGCTGAGGTGGCTGGTCCCCTCGGGGAGATTCCAGCGAAGTAGAAAACAGGGACAACCCCTTGCGGACCAATCTCTTTGTTGCACTTTCTTCAAAGCTGTAAGTTCAGTGCCACCTTGTGGATGAAAAGAACACTGTGGATGACAACAGCTGATTTAGGATTTTCTTCTAGAGAGCAGATGGTTTCACCTAATATGCGTGTTTATATTATTAGATTTTGTGCTTGCGAGTTGTTTTGGGGTCATTCATTTTGTTTTTATTTTCCCCTCATTATGACCCTCCCACTGAGGTGATGCTGGTACAGGTGGGTCATAAATCGCACTGTAGGAAGCACTTACCTAGTTTGGTGGCTTTCAAGTGTTTTTGGCCATGACCTATATAGTAAGAACTACGTCTCTCATTGCAACCCAGTAATATGTACATCCATACAAATGTGTGAGTGTCTAGTACAGAGGTTTCACAAAACAATATCTGCTTGTATTCTACTCTGATATTTTGTTATATTAAATTTCAAAATGCTGGCTGACATCTACTAAATTGAATTTATAACTCAGTGGGTTGCTACCTGTAGCTAGGAAGCTGCTGCTTTTTATAGGAGAGGAAACTGAGGCCCGGAGGGAGCTGGAACTGGCTCAGGGTCTTCTGGACTGTAGTATGTGGGCATCCCCCAATCATCTTTGGGGTCAGCCTCTGCACTGTCTGTCCAGATGCTCTCCTGATGCAGCCCAGGTAACCACCCACTCCTCCTTCTAGATGCGCCTGATGGAGGAGGAGTTACGGGACTACCAGAGAGCTCAGGATGAAGCGCTCACAAAAAGGCAACTTCTGGAGCAGACGCTGAAGGACCTGGAGTACGAGCTGGAGGCCAAGAGTCACCTCAAAGACGACCGAAGCCGACTCGTCAAGCAGATGGAGGTCTGTAAGCTATGCGAGTGTGAGCCGGGGCCTGTGCAGGGCAAGCATGGGACACAAGAGAAGTGACCTCTCTGTGCACACTTAAGCCTTTGGGATGCCTTCGGTCTTTATTCTCTGGAACAGCCAGACATTAGTAAAGTCATTTCTTGATTTGAGGAAGAAGCTGATAGTTCATAGACTCATAAGTTGTCAGAGCCAAAAGGAATGATGGAGACAGTTTAGCACAGTGCCCTCATTGTCTTAAAGAGGAAGCAAAACAGAGCCGCAAAGAGGCCAGGTGATTTTACATAAGGGCACATAGTGCATTTTCTGTTGGTTGCTTTGGGAGGTGCTTCCAGCTACAGAGGAGACAAGACGGCTGCAAATCTAGAGAGGGGCTGAGCTATGCCTTGGACCCGAACCAACTAACTCCTGGGGACGCCCAGCTCTCATTTGTCACACCGCATGCTCTGTTCTTGTCTCCTAATTCTGGCCTTTTTTTTTTCTGTCAGATGATCCAGCTTTGCCAAAGCTAGCAGCAAACTGTGGCTCAGTTCATTTTTGGATACACCATATATACATAGTCTAAGACAGTATGTCAGAATGTGCTCACTGGGGTCACCAGCTGGGGGTGACCTGTTCACAGGATGAAAACACAACATGGTAGAAAAATATGAATCAGGTAACAGAATCGAAACATGCACAAGCTACTGAGCAGGACAGGGGGAATCTTAACATCAGTCCATCTGAGCTTATACAAAAGAGTAATCCTCAAGAACAAAACCAGCCCCAAACCAGAACATCCCCCCCGAACACACACATACCCCACATCCCAACGGAATTTAGTGAGGGAGAGAATCAGCCCCAGACCTATGGGAGAAGTTAAAATTGTCAAGGTTTTGGTAAAAAGACAGTGCTCAAGGACAGGGAGAGATGGTTTGAATTTAAAGTCAATGGAATTTCTGATTCAATTTTGCAAATAAATAAAAATAACTTTTAGAACCTCCAGGGGACTTAGTAGCAATTTCCATCTAGGGAGTGATGTTTCAACCATTAAAGATTTTATTAGATGGGCCCCTTTTAGACACTAGAATAACCTGGTTACAGTCTTACTGTCCTTTTGTGGGGTTGCTGTGTATTTTGCTATTGTTCCTGCTTCTGTTCTCATTAGAGGGGTCATTTTAAGGCAAGCTAAGGTCAACCCAGTTAACTAGGAAGCGATTTTTCAAGGACCCAAACAGTCTGGTTCAAAGCAAGCTAAAGCTGCGTTGGGCAGTGGTGTGAGAACCTTTGGTGTAATGACCCCTGACCTGGGCCCCTGAATGCTCTTGGTGGGTTTTGAATAGTACAGATTTTAGACAGGAAGAGAGGCCTGTGAGGAGGTGCTTTTAGCTAAACATTGGGTTGTCATCTTCTTCTAGCATATTCTGACTAAAAAGAACATTTCCTTTTACCAAATCAAGGTCTAGAAGCGGTGATATGACTGAGCTTCCCTTGCCCCCTGGCATTATTTTAGATATTTCTCCATTGATGACAAAATGAATAGCTCTCAAGGCCCTACCAGAGGAGCTCGCCGGAGGAACGTTTCCTCCCCTCAGAGGTAGCTGGCAGGACTAGCTTGCTGTGACAAATATCTTGCTGGTTCCTTCACTAGCACTTAACAAATTAATTCTCAGGACTCAAGAGCTCTCTCAACAATGGGCATTTTCTGTAGGATCAGAAACTCAGGTGGCTGTTTTACGTAAATGAAGCACTTGTGGACCCTCGGTGATTTCTGCCATGAGCAGAACTGGCCTTGGAGGCATCAGGGACCACGGAGCAAAGAGGAGGGTCGGTGCAGAACCCGGTGCTCTGTTCCAAGTTGGTCTTCGAGCCTCTCAGCTCACGGGAGAGAGCTTTCTGGGTTCCCTGTAGATTTCATTCACCAGCCGGGAAGGCATTCACAGACATTTACTCATTCACGTGAGTAACTCTGATTTTTGGCCTTTACAGAAGCGTCCAGAGCTTGTCAGCCAGCCCACTTTGACAATTGCAGAGACAGTGTTTACGTGCAGATGCTGCAGACTCGTGTTTCAAAACTCACGATGCCGATTGCTTTTTATCAAGTATGGCACTGAGTTAACGCAGACATACGACACATTGGCGAGTGACAGGAGAAACATGTGCATAGACCTCACAAGCCCCTATTTCTAGGTAGGGTGGTTTGTGTTAGAAGCCTCTTTTTTCATACATGCAGCTACTTTGACATGCTTTTCTCTTAGCACTCAGTGGTGTTAAATGAGGAGCCAGCAAGGAAGACAGAAATGACCATTCTTCTGTAATGACTGGGTCGCCGTCTCTGGGTTACTCGGGTGCAAATTTGGGACTGATTCCATAATGCACAAAGTGTGTGAGGTGTCCTAGAAAAGCAGGTGGGGGCAATAGTAAGTCGTAGCCTTTACTCCTGCAAGGCTCTTGGAAACTCTGAGCAGGAGGGAGGGAAAGTATTGTCCAGAGCTTGGAATTTTTAGAGAAATGTGTCTTGGATGATGTCTGAGCTCCCACATTGCCTTTTAACAGGTAACTTGGGGACCTTAGGCTTAGGTAGATCTTTGTAAAGTTACTGATTCATAAGGGGGACAAAAGATATGAAGGAAACAGGCTAAAATATCCACAGGGCTTATGTTAGGGCTCGGGGTAATATTTTGTCTCCTTTCATGTATTTTTGAAACGCACAATTACATCTTACATTATGAAAGCAATACAACACAGTTTTTTGGGCAGTATGAGAAGGAAATGCATCCTTTCCCCAAACTCTAGTGATACTCAGCTCTGATCTGCCTTCGAGGTTTTATTCCCCAGGGCGGGACGTCTTTGCACTCTACCTGGGTCAGTGTGAGTTTAATAGGGCTATGTTTGTGTCTTCTTTCTTTCTTAGGACAAGGTGTCTCAGCTGGAGATGGAACTGGAAGAAGAAAGAAATAACTCGGATTTGCTGTCTGAGAGGATCACTCGGAGCAGGGAACAGGTGCTGTATGTAGTTGAATGATGAATGGATTGTCCTTCATGGAAAAGGAAATGTGCGAAGTGAAACCCAAGGATTCAGCTAGAAGAGGGAAGAAAGTTCTTGCCTTATAGAAATGATGGAAGGCTGGGTAGTGTTCACCGTAGTAAGCCATGAAGAGGGAGGTGTAATATATAACATAAAGCACACAAAGTGGAAGTTTCCAGAGTGGTTATGGGTAACAGTCTATTAGCTATAATAGGCAAACTGCTCTGCTTAGAGCAGAGGCTCTAAGAATCATTAGTCCAACAAGCAATTGTGTGAAATTGGGTTGCCATGGAAAGTGGAGGACATATGCAGATTTTTCCTTTAAGAACTTTACAAGCTAAATAGCCATACAGACGCCTATGAAGCATTCACAGTACAGTAACAACCTCTTCCAAGTGAATGCTTTTTGCAGTTTTCAAAGGTGAGGAATTCCACTTACCTTCGATCTGTACAGCAACACTGGGAGGCAACCAGGGACTGTGTTCGCTGTCCTCACACTATAGATAAAAGAACTAATTTTCTAAATGACACTCCATGTAATCTGAAGGTTTTTGAATTTTGTTTCCATTTTTTAATTAAAAAAAAAAGTTTAGAGCAGCTGAGTTCTGTCCTGGGGATAGGGAGTCTTATCACTGGGAAGCGGTGGTTCCCTTCACTGGTTGCCTTGCCCAAGCCATTTGACAGATCACATGGGGAAGCATTATGGGACGATATTCAGAATACGTAGTGACAGTTTTGAAAAGAACCTATATTCAGTAATCTGAAAATGGTACCAGAGAAACCGTACATAGACATTCAGAAAGTTCTTCACCTCTTGATTTGTTTTGGGCACTTTCTTAATTAAACAATGCAGACAAAACCTAAAAGCCTTGGATGAGGCTGAGTACAAATGAGGAAATTTTGTCTATATAAAGGATTAAAATTAAAAATCTGAAATACAAGTTAATTTGGGCAAAATCTTCTTTATCCAAAGAAGCTCTTTCCTCTGGTCACACTTCGACTTCGGCACGTGCCCCATGTTTCCACCACCTCTAGACAACCAAGAACTGGAGGTTCTAATGCTTGGGGACGATGCCATTCCAAGATGGTAGCCCCTCTTCAAAGTTGAAGGGAAATCACTGGCTTCTTTTCCATTGTTTCCCTGTTGACCAATTCTTTGCAAACAAGTAAGACAGTTGTGCTGTTTTGCTTCTGAGAGTGGAGAAATTTCAATCTGAACCTCCGTCCTCGGGTTCAGTTCTGTCTATGTGTTCCAAAGCCGTGCTAGTAGTGTCCTGCTCAAGGGGGGGCAGCCCAGCCAACCGGAGCTGCAGAAGCTTAGGGAAAGGCTTTTATGGAAACCTCAAATCCAGACGAATCGCCCAACCTTGACACTTGAGCCCTTGTACGTTCTTACTAAAGTCAGCATTTTGTTAGGCAAGAGCCGGGCATAAAAGTTGCTTGGGGACACCTGGGTGGCTGTCGGTTAAGCGGCTGCCTTCGGCCTGGGTCATGATCCCAGGGTCCTGGGATCGAGTCCCACATCGGGCTCCTTGCTCAGCAGGGAGCCTGCTTCTCCCTCTCTCTCCCTCTGCTTGTGCTCTCTCTGTCAAATAAAATAAAATCTTTAAAAAAAAAAAAAAAAGTTGCTTGGTGATGCGTTCCTGCCAGTGTGGCTGAGCCCCCACAGTGCCACGGGGCATTTCAGGATCTGCTAAGCATTCATGATAACAGAAGTGGCCATGAATTTGTTTTGCTAATGCTGCTCGTGGCTTAGGCAGGGAGGAACAGTGGCAAAGTCTGTCACCCTGTCAATAACCAGGCAGGCAAAACAGACTTCCCAAGCCCCATGTTTTACACCAAAAACAAAACACAGACACACTGAACCAGAAAGCGGTTGCCTTGCTTGGCTCAGCTGATGGCCCAACCTGAAGAAAACTGATCACTCAGACCCCTTCTTTTGCCTCTCACCTGAGCACGTGACGCACTCCTTGATGTGGCCACAGCTGAAGATACTTTGAGCCAAGAACACGAAGTAAGCCCAGGGAGGAGGTTAAGGGAACGGACTTGGTCTACTGGAAAGAGCGTGGGCTTGCGAGTGCCAGGCCTGACTCCTGCACCAGCCCCATGGAGTCCCAGGAAGGTGCCAGCCTCTCTGAGCCCATTCTTTAGGGGATGTCCCTGTTAAGGAGGCGTCACAGGTCAGTGTTGGGGCGGGGGAGAGGTGTCATCATTATCGCAGACTATTATTATAGTCCGTGAAAGGGCGGCTCTTCTCCAAATTCCAACATTGAGCTGCTCTGACAAGGCTGCGTCTAGCCAAGTGTCATGAGTCCCTCGAACCCCCATCCTTCCCTGTGTCTGTGCTGTGTGCCTGAAGGGAGGGTTCCAGCCTGTTTGCCCTGTTCGTTCTGTTTTCCCCTTCTATTTCCTTTCTTGTCCCTGCCCTCCCTGAGGTGGGGCGTTGAGGGGTAAAACTTGGTGCCTGTCATAGTGGAGGAATGGAGCATCATGTTCACCTTGTTGTAGGAATTGCTAAAACAACAACAAAACAAAACTCCTGAGGTAAGGCCTCTCTTCTGGCCTTTGCTGTCTCTGGATATGTGAGGAAGGGTAGCGTAGAGAACTGGGTTGACCGAATACCCGCCTCACAGGACAGCATTTAATTCTTATTCAATGCTGGGGTCCATCTGAGACTTCTTTTTTGCCTCTTAAGGGTTCCAAGGAAGGGCCCTGGGTATAGATAGTTGGGCCCTAATTTTGATCCGCTTAGGTTAACTTGCAGGGCCATGAGCCTGCTGCCTTCCTGCCAGAATCAGAGAAAGGGGAAACTTCCAAACCTAAGACCCCCTCTCGCCCCCGCTAACACTGACCTGTGACACCTCCTTAACAGGGACATCCCCTAAAGAACAGGAAATGGTGCCTGTCTGATATCTCCAACCCGATTTATAGCATCAGCAAACTGCTTCCAGGCACTGAAAAGGGAAGGCGTGGGGAGTTAGACTTTTTGGATCTTGCTCTCTTTAAATTGAAAAGGAAAAAGGTTACAGCTCTTACTTAAACTCTGCATTCTTATAAGCTCCCCTTCTGAATTTTGCTTTCCCCAAACATCTCTCATTTTTTCCCTAGTCTTAGCGGCAGGGCTTAGGTAGAAAAGCTAGGGGGGATTAAAAAAAAAAAAGGTTTTCCAGCAATATGAGCAAATGGCCAACCCCTTTCACAGAATCTTAGATCTGGCAAGGACCTCCAAGTTCCTCTCCCCAGACTTCTGGTGCAGTGCACAAGAGATCTGAGGCCCAGCCCCATTGCCCCCCACCCCACCCCCACCCCCCGATCTGGCCAGCTCACACAGGTGGTCAGTTGCAGAGCTGGCCTCAAATCTCCTGACTCCCCAAACAGAGTTCTACCAGTGCTCGGTGCTCATAAGGTGTGCTGGATACCTACTGTGTGCATAAATAGCATTGTGGTGAGGCTGTAGAGATGATCAAAAGTGGCCCCTGTCCTTGAGTGCTGTGTTTGAAGAGCTGGAGGATGCCCCCCAAAATGGATAATGAATAAGAAAAAGCAACAGATACTAAATGCCAAGTGCAGGATTCAGGCAGCTCACGAAGGAAAGGCTATCATAGCAAGGGGTGACGGTGGGAGTTCTTTGAAGAAGGTGAACCTGGAGCCAGTTTTGAAGAAAGGGTAAGATTTAGACAAACTAAGGAGTGGGAAGGGAATCCTAGACAGAATGGATAGTGTGAATTAGGATTGGGAAGTAGGATATTTACAGTGTCTGGGGGACAATGAACGGACTACTGTGATAGGTTTCTGGTTTCCATAAGGGAATAGTAGGAGATAAGTTCGGACAGGCAGGTTGAGGGTGTTGAATGGACCTTATCCTGAAGGCAGTGGGGAACCACTGAAGGTTGTAGAGCAGACAGTGAAGCATACGGGGTATTTTAAAAGATTAATGTGGTGGGGTTGGGAGTAAGGACCGCAGAAGGGAAGACCAGAAGGAAGCTCAACTGGACTGTTCCCGGGGACAGAGAATAGAAAAGGCAGTTACGAGATCAAACATCCTATCCTTTGTATGTTTCCCCCCTCCCTTTCTTATACATACATTTGACACTCAGTAAATGCTGGGCACATTATTTGTGAGTTCCCAGCCGTTCTTTTCCGTACATGCTCAGGATGTAATTTTTCAGACTGATGGGTTCAGAAATCCTCTAACAAATTTTTTTTTTCCCCAAACTTTTTGGATGCTTGAATTTTGTTTCCAAATCTGGCTAACATGAAGGAAAAGGGATGAATTTAGACTTGATAAAGTCCTGTCTTATCTACTCTGTAAAACAGAGGGGAGGAGTATTTGTTTTCTCACCCAAATATGGTTTCACCTGATTCAGGAAGGGTTCTGACTTGTAAGTTGAAGGCAAATTGATTTAAATAGTGGGTATTTCACCAGCTTTGGTCTGCTTAAATTTAAACAGAGAAATCCTTTTTTCTCTCCTTCCTTCAAAACCGTGTCTCCATTTACAATTGCTATCTTTACGGAGGATTTGCTAAGTGCTGGGCTCCGTGTGCCCTGCTGTGCATGCTTTGTGTCATTGTTTTCGGCTTGTAAGTGACCACCTAGGGTCATGAAGCTTGGATGCCAAGCCGGGATTTGACTCCAGAGCCTACTGCCTCCCGCCTGTTCCCATCATTCCAGCATCAGACTTAAGACTGGTAAAGACCTCCCCAGGTACATTTGGGGCCTCTCTTCACAAGTTAAAAATAAGGCCATGGTGTCTCTTAATATGGATGAAGATTTATGATCTTCTCTTGACTGTCCAGTGAGTCCAGGATTTACATAGTAAAAGAGAGGCCCAGCATTGGTGTGTTTTAAACTTGTCATCCAGGCTGATGTTCTAGTTCACTGGGCGCTGCTGTGCTGTTCCTGGTGGTTGAGTACAAACAGTTAACACTTGGGCTGGGCCTCAATGGAGAGGCGTTTTCTTGGCCATGGAAGCTAC